GCTGCGCTAACGGTCCGGATTAAAGAAGCTGTTTCTACAATAATGTGGAGGGAGAGTCCTCTCCTGTCAGACTGAGAGGCTCAGTGAGGTAAAGGACTGAGGGTTTAGAATATATAGTTCACTCTAAGTTATCTCGTGAGTCTCAAACGTTTTGATCACAATTTATGTAAACAAATATTTCCAAGGCATACCTTTATAATTATTAGGATAAATAAAAACAGGTTTGAAATCATTCCAATATATGCTATAGGACAGTAAACCAAAAATATCGTTTAAAACATGTTCATACAATGCTAAATACATTTGAATCCTTTTTATATAAGCTGTCCACCATGTCAATACGTTTCTCTGTTTGTAGTGTATTGGTCTTTTGTAGAGGTTTTTCATTGCCAGCTCAAATCTTGCCTAGGGCAGCAAATTGGTCAGAACTGGCCCTGGTGTCATCCCCACAGCACCCCCCATTTGAAACATGTTCCCACGGCTATGAGAGTGGACATTATCGTAAAACCAAATTACACAAAAGTTGCAGCTATCTGACGTCAAACTCACAACGCACTGTGCTCTGAAGGAGTCCGAACAATGTGTTTTAGTTGAACAAAATACAAATATATAATAGCTTTTTCTTTAGGGTGTTGGTTTTGGAAATGTGTGGTAGTCTTCTTGCCGTTTGTGTGTTGGTGTTTCCATATTTAATTGTTTATGTTGCAGGAGGGAAAGTTCACAACTGGTTAGAAATATATCAAAAACTCAAAGACAAACACTTGGATGTCTTTCAAAATGAAATGTATTTACTCACGTTCAAGGAAGCAAAGGCGTTCGGTTCTTTCGGTTTGTCCTTCACACAAAGTTTGTTAAATCTCCTGATTCATAAAATCACCTTTATGATTTGCTGATTACGTGTTTCCATATCTTATAGATGAGGTGAACACTTACGTTTTCGACGTGCCGGATACTTGATGTTGAGTCTGAAAATAAAAACATAATGTTGTGAAATTCAAGACATGTTTAAAAGTAGAACAATTTAAATATTTAATCAAAGTAGAACAAAAAGACTTCATTATGAGTGAAATGTCCTCAAAATCGTACTCAAGTATAAGTAAAGAAGTGTTTTAAATATGTAAAATGTACTTACAGAAGCTAAAAAAAATGAACCCTTTTGCAAAATGACATTCAGAGTGCTACAGTATAGTTGATAACTGGAGAAATATTACAAATGCATATATATTTTGGGTTATGATTGTATTTAATTTACATGTGTACGGATGTACGTGCATGCACCTTTAAAACTAGAGATACTGTATATATGTTTTACTTGTTTAAAGTAAAAACTAAATGGTTCAGATAAATGTATTGGGTTGTAAAATACTTTACAATATTTCCCTCTAAAAGGTGGTGAAATGGATAGGTAGCAGACAGTGGAAATACTCAGTAAAGTAGCTCAAACTTGTACTTAAATACAGTATTTAAGTAAATCCATATTACATTCCACCTCTGGAACCACCTTTCTTCATCAGACCTCCTAACCTTGTTTCATGCTTACCTACTCTTCTTCACCATATTATGGACAAAGGTTCCACACACTATCGCAACAACAAGAAAACATCCAGCTGTGAGGATGGCCGCTCTGCCAGCAGCAAATGTGCAGCCACACTCTGAGAAATCTGGAGAAATAAAACACCATGAAGATCCTACATAGACTTCTCAAGAACACACCATGTCTTACTGGTTCTGAACTTTTGACAGAACACCCATAACATTCATCTGGCTGCAACTTACAAATTATGTATCTAATATATCATATTCCAATCACTTGTATACTCTTATTGCACTATTTCACTGATGGGAATTACGGCTCTTTGAAGGGAGCCGGATCTTATGGCTCCGTTCCTTTTTAAGGGGACGAGGTTACTAGGTTTATCTGTGAAATAATCACCAGGAGGATGATTGACTGTATTGCCGGAAATCTACTTTTACTCATATAACATTTTTATAACTTGCTACATCTCTCAGCCAGCCAAACTTCTACTCACGCAGCATGCGTCATGCCATCATCTACGGCACATTTGCATTCAGGAAAGCAAGTTCCTGTATAGGCGAGTGGATTTATGGCAGGCAGTGAACCAACGATACAAAGAACGTCTCTCACCACGTAGGACTCGGTTCCCTTCATTCTTACCAAAGAGCTGTTTAAAATAATCGGATCGTACGCGAACGTCACATCACTATATTTCACTATTTCACTATTTTGTCTGTTTAATTGTGTTGCACTGTTGGAGGAGCCTGGGACCTAAGATTTTCATCGACATAGCTACACTAAAGCTATGTAGCGTAGGTATGACAAATAAAAGCCTTAAATCTTGGTATAAAAAAACATTGTCCGCGTCAGATTTTCTTTCTTTTTCAGTCACATACCTCCAACAGATAGTGTGTGGCTCTCTGTTTGACTCAGGCCTGTTGCAGAGCTCTCAGCGGAGCAGCTGTACTGTACGTCCCACTGTCAGAGCTGCTGATGGACATTATGACGTACGCAGCCTCATGCACGCAAGTTGGCTTTCCATCAAGAAACCAGGTGAACGTTGGTGATGGTACGGACATGGTGGAGCAGTAAAGCATCGTGAAATCTCCGACACGCACAGATTCAGGTCCTTTGATGGCCATGTTGTCAGGTCCGTCTGTAACACAGCAAAGAGTCACATAGAGGCCTTTTGTGGGCCTTAACCAATGTTGACTTTTGGCTAAAAATGTATTAGGTGTATGTATTGAGAACTCCAAATCCCATTGAAAGTAAGTAAAATGAAAGTATGTACACATTGTAGAAATACTATTAAGCTTATTTAAAGGGGACCTATCATGCAAAATGCACTTTTCTACGTCAGAAAACACAACCCTCTCTCTTTTCCTCCATTCCCAAATCTCTAAAAACGGGGCTGCAACGGGTCTGATACAGACTTGATTCAGTGCACACAGATAATGGGAACAAACACTTCATTTTATATATTATATAAAATATAAATTTACAAGTAAAATAAATACCTTTGTCATGATAACATTTCCGTCTCTATTCTTCTCTGTTTTCATTATTTAAACTGCTGTGCTGATCCTCATTGGGCATTTAGACTAGGGCTGAACGATTAATCGATTTTAAATCGAAATCACGATTTTAAATGATGCGATTATCAAATCGCAAAGCCTGCGATTTTCTTTTAACTTCTTTTTTTTTATCCATCCATCCATCCATCTTCTTCCGCTTATCCGTGGTCGGGTCGCGGGGGTAGCAGTTCCAGCAGAGAGCCCCAAACTTTCTTTTCCCTGGCGACATCAACCAGCTCTGACTGGGGGATCTCAAGGCGCTCCCAGGCCAGCGAAGAGATATAATCCCTCCACCTGGTCCTAGGTCTACCCCATGGTCTCTTCCCAGCTGGACGTGCCTGGAACACCTCCCTAGGGAGGCGCCCAGGTGGCATCCTAACTAGGTGCCCGAACCACCTCAACTGGCTCCTTTCGACGCGAAGGAGGAGCGGCTCAACTCCGAGTCCCTCCCTGATGACCGAACTTCTCACCTTATCCCTAAGGGAGACACCAGCCACCCTGCGGAGAAAACCCATCTCGGCCGCTTGTATCCGCGATCTCGTTCTTTCGGTCATGACCCATCCTTCATGACCATAGGTGAGGGTAGGAACGAAAATGGCCCGGTAGACAGAGAGCTTTGCCTTCTGGCTCAGCTCCCTTTTCGTCACAACGGTGCGGGAAAGCGACTGCAGTACCGCTCCCGCTGCTCCGATTCTCCGGCCCATCTCACGCTCCATTGTTCCCTCACTCGAGAACAAGACCCCGAGATACTTGAACTCCTTCACTTGGGGTAAGGACTCATTCCCTACTTGAAGTCTTTTTTTTAATAATTTTTTTTAATTTTTATTGTGTGTCAGTCATCCACACCAATCAGAAGTGCTGTGCTCCACATGTACCAGCCATTATTAATCAATCAGAAGTGGCTCATGATAGAAGGTGATAGACAGATTGATCCAATCACCTGCCAAGTGCTTCTGAAAGTGCCTGCCCTTTCCAAATGGCTTCCAATGGAGCTTTCCTAGATGGTTTCTGAGTCAGGTTAGTAATGCTCCATCACATGTTTCTATTACAGGGTGAATCTTAAACTGAAGCTTGACTTTAAAGCAACCCAACGAAAGTTTCATGTAAGTTTAGTTCTTTCACTCGTAGCTCGGGCTGCGGGGGTGCTAGAGACGGGAGCACGTTGATACGACCTTCCTCGCCGGAGTTATGGCCGCATTTTTACAATAAACTTCCGTTGGGTCGCTTAAAAACAAATATCGCAATTCGAATCGCAATCGCAATATTTGTCAGAAAAATCGCAATTAGATTTTTTCCCAAAATCGTGGAGCCCTAATTTAGACCTCTCTTTTGCAAACCTATGCTGATCAGATGTGAATTGTGTTATTGAGTTTTGGGTAGATGAGCATTAGACCCATAGTTGTGTTTAACGTCCGCCATTCCTACTATTACATTAATGACTTTGTATGGAGCCTGAGAGAGATTGCCATCTTATCTCAGGTTGTAGCACAAGTCCCTTTGCCATAAACTCACATTGGATGAAGAGATCCATCGACCGGCTGATTTCACTTGTGGCACCATTCGACGCGTTGCACCTGAACGGTCCCTGGTCGTAGCGGGTCACATTAAATGGGGCGAAGCCTGCGAGCTAGTTCAGGCAGTCAACTCGAGCACTTATGCTGCATTCATACATAACGCCCCTTGCCACTCTACAACCAACCAAACAGAGTCTCCTTAATATGCCGCTCTATTTAACCTGCAGATCTCTCTCCATACATTGCTTGCTGCTGCTATTGCAGCAGCAAGCAATGTATGGAGAGAGATCTGTACAGAGATGGCTACAGCCTGAGACGTCTCATATCTCAGAGTTTTCTCGTTGAAGGCCTGACAGCTGTAGCTTCCACTTTGATTTATCTGAACGTTCATCAGACTGAGATCTGGTCCAGTATCAGACAGCAGGTCTCTATTCAGAAACCACTTGAATACAGCAGAAGGTTTGGAGTCAGCTGAGCAGGACAGGCTGATGTTTGACACTTTCTCAAAGTATTCTTGTGACGGAGAAAGCTTTAAAAGGGTCTTTTCTGGCCCAACTGCGAGAAAAAGACATAAAATGGTATAATCAACGATATAATAACAGCAGCTTGAGCGAAACAGCTTCCAGCTTGGCTCAGTGTGAACGGGTCATTAATGTTAAGTGTGCCGTTTAAAAGCCGAGATGCATCATTAAACTTAATACAGCCTTCATTTACTCAGCACCAGCCAAACACTGCAGCTATCAAACAGCAAGGAGCTCAGTAAACACATTTAGATAAACTAACCTGACATGACGCCTGTAAAAAGTATAAATCAAAGCTGGGCTTGCATTGAAAAAACAACACATTGTGAGGATTTGTCTGATCTTGTAATTGCAATACGATATGATTTTTAGCCTTTACAGACCATTGACATATGATTTACGTATTTAACACACTACAGGAAAGGTAAACCCCCGAAAGCACAATAGGGCCCCTTTAAAGGTCTTTCTAGTGTTTTCATTCAGATGCTGTAACTTTAAAGAATACTCACAGCTGATGTCGAGGCTCAGGTCTGGTGTAGTTACTGAAATTATTGAACACATGACAAATGAACGGTCCCTGGTCGTAGCGCGTCACGTTAATTATATTGAGAGTGGATCCTTCATCAGTGATCTGAACTCTGTCGCTCAGTGTAACCTCAGAGCTGCTGTTCAGCCAGAGGAAGGAGAGGAAAGATCCAGAGGAGGAGCAGGACAGACTGACGGAGCTGCTGAACTCTGACAGATCTGTGCTGCTTGGTGTTATTACGACATCTGAGATGTGTGCTATGGGTGGAGAAAAAAAAAGAAAATGTTGGGATTAGAAAATAAGATTGCAATTGCAAGTAATTTGTTTTGACTTGTGTTGCCTGTTTCTGTAGAAAAGAATATCACATTCTGTAACAATTATGTGTCCAACAAAACAACTATACAGTCTTTAAATAACTACTTCTGACTTATTCAATTAATCACTGTTTAAAACTAAAAGCCTAAAGGTCTACTTATTTTAACCAACAGCATTACAATAAGTTATTCTCCCTAACCTACATTTGATTACAAATACAACAACAACACAATTACATCTCCAAGTAATTATTTCTGTATGAAATCAAATGAAATGTAGGCAACCAAACAATATCCTTGCAATATTGATATGGACGTATTTCATCAGAAAGATTGTGATATTTTTTTTCCTTTATATCCACAGCCCTATCTCCAACCTTTAAAGTGACTTGTTCACAACAAACACCCATAAATGCTACTTATTTTGGACCCAAATCAACAAGAAGTAATTCTCCTCAACTTACATTTTCGTACAGAGACAGCTACAGTCTGAGATGTTTGATTCATCAGAGTCTTGTTGTTAAAGGCCTGACAGCTGTAGTTCCCACTCTGACTCATATGAACGTTCATCAGACTGAGATCTGATCCAGTATCAGACATCAGGTCTCCGTTCAGAAACCACTGAACAAAGGCAGGAGGTCCAGAGTCAGCTGAGCACGTCAGGATGATGTCTGATCCTTCGTCATAGTATTCTTGTGACGGAGATATTATCAGATTTATATTTTCTGGCCCGACTGTGGAGGAACATTCAAAGTTATGTTTACCCATAGAAATATAAGGAAAAAAAACAAGGAAGAGAACATCACAGATAAGTGCTCGGCAATATTTTGATAATAATATTATATAAATATTGTAATACACGGCTAGTTGACATGTTAGAATATAGATATTGTGATATCATTATATGGCACAAGTGTTGTCTTTTTCTGGTTTTAAAGGCTACTTTACAATGAAGTTTTGTCATTTGTATTGTTTGTCTTTGCCCTCTAAGTCTTAGCAATATCACTGATATATAGTGTCTTATTTTATTCATTTTTACTTATTCACCTACATATTGTCCATACATTTACTTTGTTCTAAATATTTAAACTCATTTTTTACATACAGTATGAATAAAACATGCCTTATTGTATCCCTCCAAATGTGGCAGATAAATAAAGTTAATATTGAGGGAAAAGTACACATGAGATGAAGCTTGACTCAATGTTTTGTAAGAAGATGTTCGTTAGAAACTCACAGACGATGAGTAGGGTTACTGGATCGCTGGTGACCTCACTGACAGGATTAGATGCATGACAGCTGAAGGGTTCCTGGTCGTAGCGGGTCACATTAACTATAGTTACAGTGGAGTTCCCATCAGTGATCTGAACTCTGTCACTTCCTGTAACCTCAGAGCTGCTGTTCAGCAAGAGGAAAGAGAGAGGGGATCCAGAGGAGGAGCAGGACAGACTGACGGAGCTGCTGCTCGACTCCAAAATGTCTGTCGAGCTGGCATTTACCTTTACACTGGATACTGGTGCTGTTGGAGGAAAATATATTCATTATTATTTGGACATTTTAGGTAATGCAAACATTCCTAACAAGGGCTGGACATTATTCAATATGAGCATTTGTCCTCTATATAATTGATTTGCCCTTTTGTGTTGCTCTCCATGAGCTTTCTTCAGTTTCTTTGCATTAATTGTGGGAGTTGTGTTTTCCTTGGCTGTCTTCCCCCTGAGACAAATGTGTAATGAGCTCAGCTGGCCTCATTCTTTGGGAACATAACGTTGCTGAACCTAGACCTGACCAACTGTAGCAACCATTAACACTGCCCTCAAAGGCTTGTACGGTGGCACTAGGCATGATGATGGTTCACCACTATCCTTCCAGGTTTTATTAATGCGTTAACCTGATTTGAGTAGTTTCAGCAATCTTCTAAATTGTGTTCTTTGCTTGATAATTTGATAATTGCCAATAATGGCGCATTTCCACTGCAGCGGGTAGCCCCGTTTAAGCGTCTTTAATCGTCCTCAAGCGGCCAGGCCAGTTTTTGGTGGCCTTTCCATATAGCCTAGTACCGGCTAGCGGGTACTTTTTCCCTCTTTTTCCGGCCCCATAAAATCGTGGTTCTATCAGGCCAGGGCCAGGGCTGAACTAGTGACGTCAACACTCTCGACTGCTGATTGGTCAGAGAGAATCGTCACAAGATCGTGCGCGAGATCATCCCTAGCGTCGCATATATATATAGAAGCAAGCTTGCAGCATTTTTATACACAGCATTTTTGTTAACGGAGGAGCTACAAAAATGGCAACGTCAAAGAAAAGCACACCGTGGTCGACCGAGGAGGTGACGACGTTTCTACATCTCATTGGGGATGATAAAATCCAGCCGGAGCTCGACGGAACAACAAAGCCGATCGCCCCGCCTACACTGCATTGCTACCCCAGGTCCTAAACTGTAATGGAAATGCGCCACGGCCTCGGACGGCCAGCGAGGCAGCCCGAGGCTTGAGCGAGGACGTTAGGGACGCTTAAACGGGGCTACCCCACTGCAGTGGAAATGTGCCATAATTTGACCCTTCTGAAACTGATTAACATCCTTTCCCCGACCACAGGATATGTCTTCCGACATGGTTGCTTAAGAAATGACATGCTCCTCACCGCATCAGCGGGGGTTAAATAACTTGTTGCTAGCTGAAACATATTATTCACTGCAGTAATTATCCAATGGATGGCTCTTACCGATTTGCTTAGCTAAATCCAGGTGGTGAATTTTTTCTTTTTGGTAAGGCGAGGCAAGGCAAGGCAAGTTTATTTATATAGCACTTTTCAACACAAGGCAATTGAAATGGCTTGTTGAAGTTATGAAATCATCTTTATCTTAGAAGATTATATCCAAAAAAACGTACTCACCCAGTACAGTTACAGAAGAAGGCTGAGATGTCTCATATCTCAGAGTTTTGTTGTTGAAGGCCTGAGAGCTGTAGCTTCCACTTTGACTCAGTGTGAGCTCTGGTCCATTATCAGACAGCAGGGCTCCATTCAGAAACTACTGCAACTGGGGAGGGGGTTTAGAGTCTGCTGAGCAGGACAGGAAGAATGAATGAATGAAAACTTTATCACAGACTCAGGGTCCAGAAAAAAGACAAGACATTACATATAATAAATTACATACACAGCATAAAAATAATTTATAGTTTAAGAATAATTTAAATCAGTGTCCTACAAAGAGACAACTATACCAATGTCTCCACAGCTGCGATTGGTAGCGTGTAGTACTAAACCTTATGTTCAATAAGGCCAAGAGGATTTCATTATCAGAGTCATTAAGCCGGCAAATACATTTATACATAAGATTTCTTAAAACAGCTTGTAGAGTATTGACTCCTGCAGCCACAAACATTTCACTCTTCAGCAATATTCTCATGGCATCATTATAAACTACTTGAAGTTTCCGTAAACTTGCTTTTCTGTAGTTTGACCACAGATGTGCCGTATAGAGACATCTTCACTCCATCTGTACATGCACCAAACTTACGTAGGAGAATGTTTGCTTGTGCATACATCATGCGGCATTGCCTATAAATATCTTCATCATCTGTCATTTGTTCTGTAATAAAGTGTCCAAGATATTTTAACTTATTACAGACACTAAGATTAATATCAGACAATTTAAAATCAGGATATTTAAGACATTTATCCTCTTTGGTTCTAAAGATCATGACAGCACTCTTACTGGCGTTGTATTTGATGTCATGCTCCACACACCATACACAGAACAAACAGCAAGAAGCTGCTGAAGACCAGCGCTAGATGGACTCAGCACAACAAGATCATCTGCATACATAATATGGTTCACTAGAGTACTACCAATCATGCATCCAGTATTACAGGCTCTCAGTCGCTTGGACAGATCATCAATATAAAGGTTAAAAAGAACTGGGGACATAATTCCACCTTGTCTGACACCATTGCTAACCCCAAATGGGGCTGAGACCCTATTGCCCCATTTGACTTGCATAGTCTGGTGGCCATACCAGTAGACCAGAATTCTCACAATGTATTTGGGCACACCTCTTTGACTCAGTTGAACAAATAACTTCCTATATGATTAACACGATCAAAGGCTTTAGAAGCATCAATGAAACACATAAGAACTGATGAGTTATTACCTACTTCCTTTAAGGCGTATATACACAGGTCAGTGCCATGTTTAGCCTTAAAGCCATGGTTATCTGTTGAGTTAATAAAGTCATCTAATCTGTCCAGCAGAATTCTTTCTAGGACTTTTGACAGTATGCTGGCTAATGCTATGGGCCTATATATCTAGGCTTCCCACTTTACCAGCTTTGTCCTTAATAACTGGCACCAACAGAACAGACAACATTGAGTCTGGTAACAAGCCATGACTCATAAAGGCAGTAAAGCAGATGAAGAAGAGCTATCTTTACACTGGCATATTTAAGATGTTCAGCAGAAATATGATCTACACCACTGGCTTTGTTGTCCGACAGCTTGTTTATAGCTTGGCACACCTCATGTGGCATTATCACCATTGACTCATTGTTATCAATATCATCTACCCTATACAGTTCACTTTAGACACAGTTGAATAAGGTACTATAATGCTGTCGCCATAACTCCACAATGTTGTCTGTTCCGGATGTTCCGTGAACAGTGCATAGTAGAGATATTTTGCATTTATTAATAGCCCTCACTTCTTTCCAAAAATCCATAACATTGTTACTTAGCAGCTTCTTAGCCATGGAATCGGCCCTCATGGCTTGCTCATTTTTACAGATGAAGCGAATAGCATACTTGTATCTTGCATTAGTAAGCTTCTTGTACTCAAATACAGACCCTTGTCTGGGTCTGCCTGCCATAGCCCATGATTTGGTGGCTTCACAGGCTTCAGCATGATACTCAGCTACATACCTATTCCAGCCAGGCCTGATGTTATGTGTCTTATTGTTACTTTTGTAGTAAGGCTTACTGCCTTCATACAGAGCACTTACTATATCATTGTACATGGAGCAGATATCACCCCTATGCTTTGCATCCTTACAATTAACATCACTACACATAATTGCATCTCTAGGTAGATGAATATTAGTTAAGGATGTATCCGTCTGAGCATAATAGGATGTAATGTCTTCCTTTGTGAGGGTTGACCAGTCTAGTTTTTCTGTTTGAGCACTATTTACATTTCTGGTTAGCCCAGGTAGATGTTCGACATTTATTGACATAGCAACAGGTATATGATCAGTCGTTGCTGTCCCATACAGAATGCTCATACACTCAAGTGAAGCATGTGCATCAGCTGTACTAATACAATGATCAAGCCATGACGTAGTATGCCAGGCTTAAGAAGACATCTGACCCCTCCTTAAAGTAATCTTGTAATGGAGATTTCTTTAGATGTACAGTGCCTTGCGAAAGTATTCTTGCCATTTTTCCTATTTTCTTGCATTAAAACCAAAAATAATATAATATTTTGGGGGGATTTGATGGCAAGACCCCACACAAAGTCAGTCAAAATTGGTGAAGTGAAAGAAAAAAAGAGCACGTTTTAAAACATAACAAAAAATGTAAAACTGAAAAGTGTGTGCATATGTATTCACCCCCTTTGCTATTTAGCCCAAAAAGAGTCACACAATTATTGAAATTAAGTTCACCTGTGTGCAATCAAGTGCCTCATTATCTCTGTATATACAACTGTTGTAGAAGGCCTCTGTCTTCCATACCACAGCAAGTGGCCTTTCTAAGCAAGAAAACGACACCAGGAAGACTAAAGGGCTCTCCAAACAGGTCAGGGACAAAGTTGTGGAAAAGTATGAGACAGGGTTGGGTTATAAAAAAATCTCACAAACGTTGAACATCACGAAGCACCATTAAATCCATTATTGTAAAATGGAAAAAGTATGCCACGACAAGAAACCTGCCAAGAGAGGGCCGCCCACCAAAACTCTCACACCGTGCAAGGAGAGCATTGATCAGAGAGGCAGCAAAGAGGCCGAGGATAACCCTGAAGGAGCTGGTAAGCTCCACAGCAGAGAGAGGAGAATCTGCACACTCCACAGAGCTGGGCTTTATGGAAGAGTCGCAAAAAAAAAAAGAAAACATGTTTGGAGGTCGCCAAAAGGCATGGGGAAGATTCCCCAAACATGTGGAAGAAGGTCCTGTGGTCGGATGAGACTAAAATGTAACTTTTTGGCCATCAAGGTAAACGTTATGTCTGGCACAAACCCAACACCTCTGATCACCCTCAGAACACCATCCCCACAGTGAAGCAAGGTGGAGGCAGCATCATGTTGTGGAGATGTTTTTCAGCAGCAGGGACTGGGAAGCTGGTAAAAATAGGAGTGATGAATGGAGCTATGAAATACAGGGAAATAGTTGAGGAAACTGTGTTTCAGTCTGCCAGAGATTTGAGGCTTGGGCAGAGGTTCACCTTCCAGCAGGACAATGACCCAAAGCATACTGCTAAAGCAACGCTAGAGTGGTTTAAGGGGAAACATTTAAAAGTTTTGGAGTGGCCTAGTCAAAGCCCAGACCTTAATCCAATCGATTAGGTAAGACCTAAAGATGGCTGTACACGAGCGGAACCCATCTAACCTAAAGGAGCTGCAGTTTTGGCAAGAAGAATGGAAGCAAATCTCAGACCCCGGCCACACAAGGACGAAAACGGCTAAACGCATAGGATTAACGCAAACGCAAACAAGCTTCCGTCCACACGCAATAGTTATCCGGATAGTGTCTGTCCACACGAGACCGCTCCGTTTAGCTCCAACCGCTGGAGAAGCTGCAGTACATATGCAGGAGCCTGTACGTGGCGCTGTAACTTACTCCACAAAAGCAGCGAAGAAGCATGGTTGTCATGGTTGCCCTTCTGGTTATTCTCCGCGGTGGGGGCCGAGGGAACCGGGCAGAGTTTTTCGCCAGTCAACGTGTATTAAAGTTTAAACCTTCCGACAAAATTATAAAAGTGCCGGTCAAAGGTCTTCTTTGTTATTTATTGAGCTTTAAAACAAATGAATAACGACTCTATATAATATAATAATAAAAATACACGGAGCCTCTCTTTTTCCTCCCTCTCTTCGGACAGCGTCAGTGTCTGTTTCATGCAGCAGCTGATCCAGTAATGAGTGACCCGGCCGACAGTAAAAATACACATATTTATAACTAGTTTAGGTAGTTTGAGAGGTGTCTCCGTCCTGTCAGATTAGACTTCACTCGCGTTTATGTCCATATCGAGAGAAAGATAAATAATCTGAATTCAGTGTGCAGTTTACAGACGCGGGGGTGAGCAGCAGAGGTGGGGAGAGGCGGGGCTATTGCGCAATCATTATCAGAAAATGATCGCTGAAGCTGCAGTACATATCCACAAAAGCAGCGAGTAAGATCCCCCCGGATGTGTAAGTCTGCTGTAGATGTTGCACAAAGAACTGTAGCATGGTCAGTAGCGTCCGGAGCACGATAGCAACTCTGCGATCCGCCATTGTTGTTGTTGTTGGTGGCGAAACACATCAGCAATGGCGCGGGGTACGCGGAGGTGAGCAGCAGAGGTGGGGAGAGGCGGGGCTATTGCGCAATCATTATCAGAAAATGACCGTATAGGTCGCACACACGGAGCTGTTTGACCCCCCAGAGCGTTGCGTATGCCGTTCTATCCACCTTGGGACCCATTATCGTTTCCTCAGTCGTTTAGTGCCGTATGCGGTCGTCCTCGTGTGGCCGAATGGTCTATATGACACTAAACAGTAACGCAAACGGCCGTTTTTGTCCTCGTGTGGCTGCAGCCTCAATGGAAAGATGTGCCAAGCTTATAGACATGTGCACATACCCCAAGAGACATGCAGCTGTTATTGCTGCAAAAGGTGGCTCTACAAAGTATTGACTTTAGGGGGGTGAATAGTTATGCACGCACATGTTTTTTTATTTTTCATTATTATTTCTTGTTTGTTTCACAATAAAAATATGTTTTGCATCTTCAAAGTTGTAGGCATGTTGTGTACATCAAATAATACAAATTCTCCAAAAATCAAATTAAATTACATGTTTTTATGCAATAAAACAAGAAAAATGCCAAGGGGGGTGAATACTTTTGCAAGGCATTGTATATTCTCTGATCCATCTGATACGTTCATAACAAACGTAACGTGGGAGAAAATATGTTTCTTGAAGATATGTAGAAAATAAACGTATTTGAGATACGTTCATAACAAAAGTAACGTGGGAGTATCATATGCACGCAAAACTCGGCCTCAGATCTCAATGGGAATGGTTAGCGTATCATATGCACGCAAAATCGGACTTCTGCGTATCTATTGCACGCATTTCCAATGTGTAAAGTCGTGTCATTTGTACACAGACTGAAGAGAGTGGGTTGGTGAAGAACATTACTTATCGCCGACATTTAGATTTAAACAACAGGGAAACAGCTTCCAACAGAGAGAGAAATGTCTGTCGATAATTAATAGTTTCTCTTTGATAAATAAATGAATAAACATTTTAAATAGAAAGAGCTCACCTGAGATGACTTCCAGGATGATGAAGTGTATCACAGCTTTTTCCATGTTTTCCTGCAATAACATCAAACAACCTGAAAATGGGATGACAGTCCTTTAGCTTTGCTTTGCTTATTTCAGATAAGACAGAACAAGGCAGTACTTTGTGGGCGGGGTGTTACTATAATTCTGCCTCTAAAAGGTTTACCTTACCAGAACTGTTGTTGATCATTGACAGTGTACGCAACAAGCAATTTATAAATGATCCTTAATAATTCATTGAAAAGTTGCCTCTCGTAAAAGAGCTTGGTTTTTATTACGTCAAACAGCATGTAGATACCATGGTGCTGTGGAGTGATACCAGACATGATCGCAAGATTGACCGGGTGGCTTTTCTCCCACTTTTATAAAGTTTTGTTATTGCATCTTGCACCAAATATGTTTAAAATGACACAAAAAAATGTGAGTGTTTATTCATGAATTAACACATTATTATTTGGTAAACATTAATGTATACTGGAACATCAGGTAAATTAAAAAAAGCATTGTACTTCAGGCCATTCTTTTTCCAAAATGTAGGATAGTGTGGTGTCTAGACCTTTATTTTGGAAATTGGTCCATGCACAAAGCATTGTGGGGATTTAAACACCGCGGAGGATACACATCTGCAGCCTCGACATTTCCCGCAACGAAGTACGCCGCACGCCTCGGTAGAATTCCAAGTAGCCTGAACATTGGAACAGTCCTTCGGCGGGACTCGATGACGTAGTATCCTTGAAGTAGTGGCTCTGGAGCAGCCTTCCTCGACATTGAGAAACACCCAAAGTCTGCCAGTCATCCCTTGATCTTGCTAAGTATATTTTTGATAGACTCTTTGTGTTACTTTTTTGAAAATCCAAGTAGTTGTTTTGTTTAGCGTTTTTGATCTTATAGTTTATCAGTTTTGATCCTCCTAGTGAGTGTTTTGTGTTTTTGCCTTTTTATTAAATACTTTGTTAATCCTGACCTGTTTCTGGTATCGTGCATTTGGGTCCTGATCCTTGTGTCGTTCATAACAGATAGCAGGTTTCAGGAAAATCTCAATCATCTCAAGGCCTTTTTAAAATGAAGTATACACAACTATGGTTTAACCACTGCTTATATGGTGGCAGAAGCAGCAGCGTGTTTATACATTAAAATGTAAAAAGTGGAATAGAGAATTAACCATATCAAATATAAACAATATCAAATATAAACAATATCAAATATAAACAATATCAAATATTCTGGATAGTTAAAATGTTCTAGGAAAATTCCCAAATACTGCAGTAGCAGGAATATAGGCTCATAAATAACAAAACAAAATAATGAGCCATGCTTTGTGAAAATATCATAAAACTTTAATTTGTTCACCTTGAAGACCTGATGGCAAGTAGACAGCTTGAGAAATTCAGAAATGTATCGTGTTTTTAAAATAAATCGATTACAATGACGCAATCACAACATTTCATATTTTCAAAACGTTTCCAATGTAGCTGTGTTTAGGTAGTTTTGGCCGTTGTAGCGGGTAATGTGTGAAATGATTGGGACTAAGATATTAAAAAAATTGTTTGATTGTTTGCTATGAAGTTACCATTTTTTTCCTCTAGTGACACCAAATCCGAAATGTTTCATTTATCCTGTTAAACATCTTAAGATCGAGATGATAAATTGCCACATAATTAGTTTGACATTTTATTCTTACATCTTTTCTGTTACCACTCTTCTTTTACTTAAAGGTCCCATGTCATGGCCATTTCTACTGATCATATTCCATTGTTGAGGTCTACTAGAATAGATTTACATTGTTCAATGTTCCAAACTCACATTGGTCTCTCATACAGCATCTCTGTATGGTAAGTGTATTCTCTCTGTCCTAAACGGCTTGTTGGAGCTCCTGCCCCCCCCTCCCTATGAGCCCACTGTGCTCTGATTGGTCAGCTCGCCCTCTCTGTTCTGATGAGTCCACCACCGTTACAGCGGAACATCAGTGATTATGTGTTACAATGGCGTTTGTTAGCAACCAGAAAATGACATCAGTAATAACAAACAGATGAGACTGCTGTGTGGGGTCTGGGTGCCGTGTTGGCGGGACGTTGCGGGCATACTTGCCAACCTTGAGACCTCAGAACACCCTCTCAGACTTTCAGTCGTGCGCGCTACTAAAGAGACTTTCTACCATGGAAACCAAACAATGGTGTAGCTGTATTAAAGTCAGAGTGGAAACAGTCGTGAGTAAATCTGATTTTGTCAGAAATCGGGAGAAATATGACCCCGGGAGGAAACCGGGAGAGGGCAGTGAAACCGGGAGTCTCCCGCGAAAATCTGCTGCGCCCTTTGGGGCTCGAGGAGCGGACAGTGTGAGCTGTATTACCGGTGTCGTTTCCTGGTTGCTGCGTGGGGTCTGCGAGACAGCGAGACATCGCGGAACTCAGCCTGAGCACACACACACACTCACAGCCAGGCTGTTAGCCACACAGTTCGCCACACACTCACAGCCTGAGAAAAGATAAGGCTGACTGGCTGAGTGAGTGTGTGTGCCGGCGAAACTCCGCAGAGTAGCGCGGCTGAGAAAAGATAAGGCTGAGCGAGTGTTTCTCCGCGATCCCAACTCGTCTATTACCAACGTTCAGGGAGCTCTATGCAAGTCAATGGGACTCCCTGATAGTTGAAAATTGACGCCAAAGGTCCCCCCACTGCGTTTGATAGTGACGCCAAGGGATCCTGGTGTGTGAGGAGCTCCACGGATTGGTCCATTTGGACCAATTGTTCCATTTGGTCGTCGTTACATCACTTAGACCAGGAAGAAAGAAATAGAAAAAGAGAAATCTCCAACGAGGCGTTCTGGGGCAGCATAGACAGGTATTTTCTGTGTTAGAGTTTTACTCGCTACAGGGTGTACTTTGAGGGTTTTTGACTCTGCAGACCGTTCACATGCATAAAAAGCTACATAACACACAAGGGGACGGGTAATACATGGAAAAGCATGTCATGGGACCTTTGATTGATGGTATCAACTTTTTTATTTTCCTTTTCAAAACTAAATTCATAAACGCAAATAAACAAAAACAAAAAAAGGCCATAAGATAAAAGCTGAATCTTACACAAGAAATGAAAGATTTGTCTATTCATGATGTCGAAACTTAGTTCAAACATTAATTATTTTATTTATTCATTCATACTGGTCCTTACATCCTTTTTAAATATGTTTTCTTTTACTTTAATTAGGTTTTATACCAGCCTGTCTGACACATTTTAAATCCAGACCTGCTGCAGAACGTCTCTCATAGGGTTATGTTTTTTATCGCACATTGTCTGATTGTATAATCACATGCGCCATTGCTAGAGTCTGTTGATATGCTGTCCAGATAAATGTTATCACATTTAGGGCCGCTTTGTCTTTATGTTGTGAAGTTCTTCTTCCTCTGAACGGCCTGTTGGACGAGAAGTGAAAAGAGGGAAGTGTCAAAGAGCTTTGATCAAGTGTATGTTAGAATGAGTGCTCTGATAATGTGGTTCTATAGTGGTTCCTTCAGATTAACTAAGTTACATATTTCTACAGAAACCTTTGAACATACATATAACATATCTTAAAACGTACCTTTAGCACAAAGAAGACGGCTGAGTCTATACACTCTCGTATATCGCTGAAGTGTTCTCATACACAGCCTCTTCTAGTTCTAGGAGGAAAGAAAAGTGTTAATACATCTTATTTTTAATACATATGTACAATTTGATCACATGATTACTAACCTTTAATATCAGATTGTGGTTCAGCTTTGTTGTTGTTTCTGATTGTGTTACTGCTTTGTTGTTGTTTTCTAAAAAGCAATGATAAAATACAGACATGCAAACAGATCCACTCAATTCAAACTGTTACATTTTATTACACAGACTGCAGTTTAGTTGTTTCAACTTACTTTGTGTTATAAACGTAGTACCCTCCACCGACAGCTCCAATGACGACTAAAACAGCGATTACTATTCCAGCGATGCAACCACCCGAACAGCCTGGTGGTGCTAAAATAAAACAGGAGATAAAACATGACTTTTACATCATTCTGTAAACGGGAACTGTCTCTTCATCTCATCATCCCTGTGGATAAAAGGCACAAATAAACACATACTGTAAGAGCAAACAAAAGCTCACAGGCACAGAGAATTTAAATAGATAAAATCATAAGCACTTCTACAGATTAGAACAACATGTTGATTGTTTGATTTGAGTTTAAGATTTTGAGAGATGTTCCTTAATTCTGGTTATACAGGTGCCGGTTTTATAATAATGATAATGATTTGTTGGAGCCCGCTAAGATGTGTTCCTTCTGATTTGAATGTACTCTTACTACTATCTCGCTACCTGTATATGTTACGGTCAGTTCATGGACCGCTGATGATTTTCTCTCGGTTATATCATTAATCGCTTCACAGTAGTAGTTCCCACTGTCAGATAATTCAGCGTAATCTTTATAAATCACAGCAGAATTGTGTATCACTGTCCCTTTCAGCGTCCAGGTGTAAATGGCAGGTGGTACAGATTAATTAGCAGGTTAATTTAAATGTGCCTCCAACATGAATCTGACTTGGACTTGTGATTTGATTTGACAAGATATTCACAATAGTGGGAATTTATCTCTTCAAGTTTAACAAAGGTTTTCTCTATCTTTTTTTAATTGTTTTTTTACATATTTTAAAGGGGACCTATCATGCAAAATGCACTTGTGTACGTCTTTTATACATGAATATGTGTCCCCGGTGTGTCAGGGAACTCACCAAGTGTCAGAAAACACAACCCTCTATCTTTTCCTCCGTACCCAAATCTCTAAAAACGGGGCTGCAACGGAGCTGATTATTATTTGAATTGTTCTGACGTCAGAAAAGGGGTTCTCCACCTATCAGGGGAATGAGAGACCGCTCGAAAGCTGTAGTACATATGCCAGGCCTGTAAGTGGCGCTGTTGTCTGCCACAAAAGCAGAATCAGCCCTTGCAAAAACAGGGCTGGAAAAGAGCAAATAGAGCGAAATGAGGCATGGCTAAAATGCATGATCTGTTTGGTATTTTGAAAAAAAAACTGGTATGGCCCTACAGTACAATATATGTTTCAAATATAGCATGATAGGTTCACTTTAAAGCAAGTTGATTTGAGTACACCTTTCTTACCACACCTATACTGTATGCATTAAACCTCTCAATGCAAACTTACCCAGTACAGAAATAACTGAAGGCTGAGACGTTCTAGTCGTCTCCTTTTCTACTAATTCCTTAAGGCCAAATATCTGTTTCTTTATCTCCTAAATCGTCCTTTATATTAAACGGCTAGACACGTTGTCTGTCTGCAGGGCACGAAGCATAGGACTTTATTGCTTTTTTATTTATTATAAAGACACATTATTTTGAGTAAATATTTTAACCAACACATATTATGCTAGTGGACACTATCTTCAACTATTTCCACTAACCGTCCTATTTCAAACTTACCCACAGAAACAACTGAAGGCTGAGACGTCTCATATCTCAGAGTGTTGTCGTTAAAGGCCTGACAGCTGTAGTTTCCTCTTTGGTTTTGCTGAACGTTCATCAGTTTGAGCTCTGGTCCATCAGACAGCAGGTCTCCATTCAGAAACCACTTAAACTGGGCAGGAGGTCCGGAGTCAGCTGAGCAGGACAGGCTGATGTCTGATCCTTCCTGATGGTGCTCTTTTGTCGGATATTTTGTCAAAATAGTATTTTCTGGGCCATCTGAATTTAGCAGCAACAAGTTAGTATTCACAACTGCATTGTTATACATATACAAGGATATTGTTTGTATTATTTAAAACCCATGCGTGAATAAAACTAAACAAGGTAAAACCCACTTAAATCAGACAATTATCTAAACTCTGATTGCACCTAGATTGGATTTGGTAAATATACTGAGCATGCAGGTTAGTAACTCACAGTAGATGGTGAGGTCTAGTGGAGCACTGTTTCCCTCACTGAAAAGATTGAACACATGACACCTGAATGGTCCCTGGTCGTAGCGGGTCACATTAACTATAGTTAAAGTGGATCCTCCATCAGTGATCTGAACTCTGTCACTTCCTGTAACCTCAGAGCTGCTGTTCAGCCAGAGGAAAGAGGGGAAAGATCCAGAGGAGGAGCAGGACAGACTGACGGAGCTGTTGAACTCCACCAGCCCTGTGCTGCTGGAGGTTACTGTTACATTGGAGACTGGTGCTGTGGGTGAAGCACAACACATATCATATATTTGCCACCAGCTCATAAAGGTACTGAAGAATAACACCCTGCAGTAGCTGGGAATCAATCCAGATATATAAAAATGCCTGGCTGCACATTGCCACTAGAGGAGATACTCTTTCGCTCAAGGACCAAAAACACTATTTTGGCATTATACAAACTGTTATGCACAACAGAGAGACATTCAGATGTTGTTAATATGTTGTCAACAAGAAGTAATTCTCCTCAACTTACATTTTCGTACAGAGACAGCTACAGTCTGAGATGTTTGAGTCATCAGAGTTTTGTTGTTGAAGGCCTGACAGCTGTAGTTCCCACTCTGACTCATATGAACGTTCATCAGACTGAGATCTGATCCAGTATCAGACATCAGGTCTCCGTTCAGAAACCACTGAACAAAGGCAGGAGGTCCAGAGTCAGCTGAGCACGTCAGGATGATGTCTGATCCTTCGTCATAGTATTCTTGTGACGGAGATATTATCAGATTTATATTTTCTGGCCCGACTGTGGAGGAAAACAAAAAAATATATGGTTACCCATAAATTATAGGGAGTAAACGGCAGCAAAGAAAAACATCACACATAAGATCTGGGCAATATATTGATACTCTACCGAAATCATGACATTACTGCTGTGTTGCAGTAAAGTGGTGGAATTGTCTTAATGATTTATAATAATAATAATAATGCATTTTATTTATATAGCGCTTTTCACAACTCAAATACGCTTTACAATATGAGGGAGGGTGGACAAATAAGGACAGGCAAACAAGTAAGTATAGTAAAATAAAAAGGCAGTCAAGAGGAAGTTGATTGAGAGGGGGGGGGGGCTTATGGGTAGACGGAGTTGAAAAGATGTGTTTTGAGGCGGGACTGAAAGACTGTGAGGGACTCAGAGTCACTTAGAGTCACTCAGTCATTTATGTTTGTACTCACCAAGTCATTTTATCTACATTACTTAATTGATTAAATATCTCATTGTGTAAATATTTTTTGAAAGCACCATATGTCACCCGTAGATTATTATATTAATATCTATATTGAGATATTTTATAAACATCCATATCTCCCAACCATACTACAGATAAATAATGTTTTTTGTTGACTTATTACTTATTGACACCAGAAATGTTATTTCTTATAAAACTATTACATTTCACATACAGTATGAATAAAACAAAACAAAACAATTTAAAAGAAATATGCCTCCAAATGTGGCATAATTAATGTTAATATTGAGGGAAAGGGTACTCATGATGACATGAACCCTGACTCAATATAAATACTTTTTTAATTGTCTGGGATTTGAAGGAAAAATAAAGGTTAGTAACTCACAGATGATGAGTAGGTTTAGTGGATCACTGGTTCCCTCACTGACAAGATTCGTCACCTGACAGCTGAATGGTCCCTGGTCGTAGCGCGTCACATTATTTATAGTTAAAGTGGATCCTCCATCAGTGATCTGAACTCTGTCACTTCCTGTAACCTCAGAGCTGCTGTTCAGCCAGAGGAAAGAGAGAGGGGATCCAGAGGAGGAGCAGGACAGACTGACGGAGCTGAACTCCACCTGCTCTGTGCTGCTGGGGGTTACTGTTACATTGGAGACTGGCTCTGTGGGTGAAACACAAGTCATATTTGCCACCACCTCATCAATTCATACAACACTAAACAAGATGCAACATTTGAAATGTTCTCTCACCTTTTATGTTCAGTATTGTGGTCCCTGACTGTGGTCGTTCTCCAGGTAGTAAAATGGTTACTGAGTATTCTCCACTGTCAGTTAGAGACAGGTTCCTGAGCTCCAGAGATCCAGTAGACATGATAAAAGTGACCCTGTCTTCATACTCTGGTGCAGGGAAGTTGTTAACATTCCAAGTAAATATATCTTTAGCACCAAATTTCCAGTTCACTGATTGAAATGGTGTTCCTGGAGTCAGTGTTGTGGTGAACATCACTTTCCCTCCCACAGCTGCATTCAGACCGTCTGGCAGCACACCAGCTCCTTCAGTTAAACCTGGAGAGAGACAGAGAGATGGACCCACTTTAGAAATCATTCACAACACAAATCTGCAGCAGAAAAAGTAATATTTGTGCTGGAAGCTCATAAACAGTTTATCTGGACGTGAAAAGACCATTTTAAGTTTTAAGTAATCTTCAAGTTACTAACCAGCTGAAGTAGTTGACATGTTTACATGGCATAAACCCCTCCCTTATGTGAAGAACATTACTTATCGCCGACATTTAGATTTAAACAACAGGGAAACAGCTTCCAACAGAGAGAGAAACTTACTGTCTGTCAATAATTATTGGTTTCTCTTTGATAAATAAAGGAACAAACACTTTAAATAGAAAGAGCTCACCTGAGATGACTCCCAGGATGATGAAGTGTATCACAGCTTTTTCCATGTTTTCCTGCAATAACATCAAACAACCTGAAAATGGGATCACAGTCCTTCAGCTTTGCTTTGCTTATTTCAGATAAGACAGAACAAGGCAGTACTTTGTGGGCGGGGTGTTCGTATAATTATGCCTCTAAAAGGTTTACCTTACCAGAACTGTTGTTGATCATTGACAGTGTACGCAACAAGCAATTTATAAATTATCCTTTTATAATTAATTGAAAAATGGCCTCTCATAAAAGAGCTGAGTTTTTATTACGTCAAACAGCATGTAGATACCATGGTGCTGTGGAGTCACACCAGCCATGATGCAAAGATTGACCAGGTGGCTTTTCTGCACTTTTATAAAGTTTTGTGATTGCATCTTGCACCATAAATGTTTAAAATGACACACACAAATGCTCACAATGGGAAAACAATACCAGTATCGCTGTTGGGTGTAACTTTTCATAAGATGCTTGTTGCGTACACTGTCAATGATCAACAACAGTTCTGGTAAGGTAAACCTTTTAGAGGCAGAATTATAGTAACACCCCGCCCACAAAGGGCTGCCTTGTTCTGTCTTATCTGAAATAAGCAAGACACTTCACCCCAAATTGCTCCTGTGGGGATTGTCCACAGTACTGAATGTATGTAAGTCGCTTTGGATAAAAGCGTCTAACAAATGACACGTAATGTAATAAGCAAAGCAAAGCTGAAGATCTGTGATCCCCTTTTTAGGTTGTTTGATGATAATGCAGGAAAACATCCTGGGAGTCATCTCAGGTGAGCTATTTCTATTTAGTTCTAGTAACGACCAGGGGCGGATCTACCGGGGTGGCAGCTGGGGTGGCAGCTGGGGTGGCAACTGCCACCCTAGAAAATAGTAGGGGTGCACCGAATGGGAAATTCTTGGCCGAAACCGATACCGAAAATAGGAAACAGTTGGCCGAAAACCGAATGCCGAAAGGCCGAAAATGATTAATAGAAATATATATATATAATGTATACATTTTTTACCAATGTTGTTCAGCTACCTGATTATGGAAATAGACATGATTATGGCAAAACTTAACTTAAATAATAATCACTATTATGGGTCCATAAAACATTTATTCAGCACTTTTGAATGCATACAGTACATTTATATATGTCATGTATTATTGCTAAAAAACATTATATCGCAGTCTTAGTGTCGCCAACTCGTTTCTAATATGCAAAGACAACAAATGCGTCTATGATGTATTTTCGATCAGACGAGATCTCTCTCCCCCGTCTGTGTGCGAGGGGGCGGGGCAGTTTACACACACGCAGCTGCTACATGCAGCGGAGCACACTGCGGAGATGGTGGAGAGAACGCGCTCCGAGGTGTGGTTAAACGTTACCCGTCTCGATGTGGAGAATACTTGTTACCATAAGTGCAATAAGAGTTTAGCATGTAAGCACGAGCAATTTGTCTAAACATTTAGCAAAAGTGCACCGCATGCAGACGGAGGAATGTACCGGGTTCGACCGTCTTTCTAGCAGCTCTGTAGCCCCATCCACGAGTAACGTTTCCACGTCAGGTGTTATGTATGCTAGCAGCAACACACGGAGTTAACTACATTATACAAACATGGGTTAATGATTAGAGGTAGGCTAACTGAGTTATTTAGTTTGTTAAAATTTCAGCTATTCTGTTTACAGTCTGTCATCAGATTATTTAATACGATTTGTTAAAGGCTCAGGGCAATCTCGATGACAAAGGTCAATGTTCCCCCCCCTGTGAGCCAGCCGCGAGCATGGTCGCCGCGTCTTTATTACGTCATCACAACAACACGTTAGGTTACCAACGTAAGTCTGTTCTGACATTCGGTGATATTTTTTCGGTGCTAAACCTTTCGGCCGAAAGCCGAAAGGGCCTTTTTAACCATTTTCGGCCGATAATTTTCGGTGGCCGAATATTCGGTGCATCACTAGAAAATAACCTTGCCACCCCAGCTGCCACCCCAGTTGGCGTCTTTGTATTGAAAGAAAAGTTGTAACTCATCGGACATTTATGAGAGAAAATCTCTAATGTCCGAGTGCAAGTGAATGCATGCGAGCAGGGTCGGCGTCATGGGGGGTCATTCGCGGGCCATGCCCCCCCAAATGAGTCACTGTGCCCCCCCAACGCAGGGTGGGCAAGCCTTATTGCCACTTTGCCGTTTTTTTTTTTTTAATCATATAAGTTTAAAACGTTTCCACCAAAAGTTTTTTGTGTGAAATACATCAGAAATAAAGAATACACATTTGTATTCTTTATTTATTCTTTATATGAAACACAGCCTGAGGTGTGCTCACTGCTGCTCTCTGATTGGTGTGTTGCTTGACCAATGACCCCGACTTTTGTTTTGTTATCATTACGTGGCTGTGTGTTTAGATGAAAGCCCAGTGGCGATCTGTCCATCTGTTACACTGATTATACAGTAAAGCCATCGAAAATAATATGATATACAGTACAGTACAAGTACATGGGTCTATGTGTTTCATTCAAGCTCGGCTCTCTGTGTGTGGCACGAGCGCATTTTGTCAGTGCGCGAGCGGTAACGTGGAATATTGTTGTTAGCATCTGGTTAGCTAGCTATGCTAACGGATATAAAGAGCTGTTTCTACACCAAGGTGGAGGAGAGTCCTCTCCTGTCAGACTGAGAGGATCTTATAACGTCAGCTCAGTGAGGTAAAGGACTCTCAGTGTTTAGATAGTTCACTTTAGTGTAAGTTATCTCAGTGGGTCTCAAACGGTTTGGTGACCATTTATGTAAACAAGTATTTGCGAGGAATAGGCTACCTTTATATGATCATTATAGTCATTAAAGAATAAGAGAATACATGAAAAACGGGTATGACCTACTATAGGACAATAACACAAGAATACCATTTAAAAGGGGAGTGATTTGTAAAATATCCATAAAGAAAAAGTAAATCTGTGTACAGTTCTGTTTCATATGGATGTTGAGAGATGTATCCATAGATCTCTTCATTTTGCTCTCAAAGTGCACCAGATTGATGCATTTAACTTCAATATTTTAAAAATAATCTTCCCGGGGGAGCTTGCCCCCAGACCCTCCTAGAGGAGGTTAGGTCCACACCCACCTAAAACATGTTCACATGGATAGGATACTAAATACATTTGCACACTTTTCATATGGTGGCCTATGTCCATATGTTTCTGTTTTGGTGGTCGTGCCACAACCGTGCATGTATGCACAGGTCATAGGTGCGCTATAAAATAGCACTACACCCCTGCAATGTGTGTGAAAGACAATAAACTTTACAGCATGTTTTTTTTAATTGAAGTTGCGTTGGTGTTTGTGTGTTGGTTGTTGACGGCAGTATGTGCCCCCCCTTGGTAAATGATTGCCCCCCCATTTGATTTGTTCTAGAGCCGACCCTGCATGCGAGTCTTGTATCCCCTCCCTGGCGCAAGCTTGGAAATATGATTGGCGGCGATTTCCTTTGAACGGAGGGACGGCGCAAAACGAGAAGCATTCGGACTCAAGTACACTGAAGGAATGAGGTATTTGCGGTTTACAATGACAGAGAAGAGACTGTCGGTTTGGCTGTACTCAGCATTGAATCAAAACGCACTAAAGCTTTGGATCTTAATAAGTTTGTGAGGCGTTTTGCTGATCAAGATGGTAATTGCCGCATTCAGCTGTTAGGCATGCCAACTTGATGCTCTGCTCACGGATGAGCATAAACAACTGTTAAGATGATGATCTTATGTGTGTATCTTATATATATTTTTGCTTTGTGAAAAAACAGTTTTAAGTCCTGAGAAAGTCAAATAAGACGTAAAACTACACTGCCCAGCCAAAAACAAGTAACCACTTTGATTTAACTAGGCCAGTAGGTAAGGACTTTCCACTGGATAATAACTGCAGCGATGTTTTAGCTGAATACACGTTTTTTGATGCAGTTAGTCACTTCTTTAATGTTTGTTCTTTCTGATGTAAAGTCAAGGTTGTAACTGTTTGCAATAAAGTCGTGGGGCGCTGAACTGTTCCTTTGAATCTTTTGAATTTTGATACATGATTATAATTACTTGCCTTTCAAATTTGAAGGAGGGTGAGCAAGCATCTTGAGGAACATTCATCATTAACTCCTCCAAAAAATATAGTTTATTCAATAATAAATGAATATGTGAATCATAAAAGTGATTGACAGCTGATAGGAATAATATGATTGTTAATATTATCATATTCATACAGACACACATCGATGAGACAGTTAATTAATGTACTTATTGCAGCAGTCTGCATAGATTTGGTACCCCTGCTGGTCTAAGAGTGAAACAAACTCATTCAGTTATTGTTCAGTTAAAATTCATTAAATCATGTCTGCCACCTTATATATTTATATGTAAGGCTTTACTGATGTGCCACAATAATGTCACCTATGTTATTGAGTTAAAATATTAATATTGTGACTTTCCAAGTTAACATTGATCGTAGGGCTGTGCGATTATGGCAAAAATCATAATCACGATTATTTGGGTCAATAATTGATATCACGATTATTTTGACGATTATTCATTGACCATTTATTGAACTTTAAAACAAATAATATTTTACCAATAAACAAGATCAACAAATATGTTGGAGCGCACTTCCAA